TTTTTTGTTGTTATATACCTGGATGACTGAGAAAACAAACTTTGTGTATAAATCAGTGAGTTTTTGTGATATTGAGCTGAAATTTGGTGATTTTGTAGCTGAGAATGTTTCCCATCAAGTGCTGTATCAAAATCAAAAATCCAAGATGGCCACCAACGCTACTTTTAAATGGCTTTAACTCAGCCATTGTTACACATAGAGAGCTGAAATTTGACGAGGCTGCAGCTGAGAACGTTCCCTATCACATACTGAATTCAAATCAAAAATCCAAGATGGCCACTTTAGCTAAAAAGGAAAAATTGCTATAACTCCACCATTTTTAGAGCTTTTCAGCTGAAATTTGGTATAGTGGTAGCTGAGAGCGAATCCCAACACAGTACTGTCAAATGAAATTTTTTAATCGGCAGTAGCCTAGCAGTCCCCGTCAAAGTTTCTCCAGGAACTTTCTAATTTGTATTGTATTTCCTTTGCTGTTTGTTACTTGTTTTTGTGTGTTTCAGTTTCCTCTGTGCCATGAGTCAGCTGTACACGGTCAGTTCTGGCCCTTCAGTTCCTGTCCCACCCACTCTCACTTGTTTCCAGTCGTCATCATGCCAGGTGTTAGATGTTCAGCATTAATCAGTGGAGGACTGTTGGTTTTCAATTCACAATCCTCTGGGTTTTTTTTTTTTTTAGCTCCTCGAGTCAGTCTGCATTTTTGGGTCCCATCTACCCGAAACTGTGATATGTTTTGAACTGGATACCTTTCCTGATGCAAGCTGGGCTCGAACCAGCAACCTCAGGATTATAGGAACACACCATTGACCATTTAGCCACCAATGACCCTTCCATCAAGTTCTAGCTCAATATCTGTTAAATTACCTGTGCTATAGCATTGTTTGTGTTAGCTAATGTCGATTAGCTGTGGCGGCCATGTTGACTTGGGTTGACTCCAAAAGTTTATGATTTGTAGCTGTTTCACTAGAATCCATGCAGTGGTCCATGAGATATCACAGACACAGACAAAAATCCTTATCACTATAAATAGCAGAGACTTGAGTCATTCTCCACAGCTGGTATTACCAGAGCGTCATCATCATACACCTCGATGACGAGGCGTGGGGGCTCCTCCTGGATGAACTGCAGGTCTCCGCTCAGCAGCAGCCGGCCCATTGGCAGACACTGGTTCCACATGGGGCTGAGGGTCTGGCTGATGATCTGGCAACACAAGGACAGACAGCAGATCAGACGCAGGCCAAAGCTGCTCAGGGGGCCCAAACCTGCCGAGATCGGGTTAAGGTTGGGCTGTGCTTCATTTATCATTTCATTCACCTAGACTTACATTTGTGGTTTGGCTGTGTGAGAGGAATGTGACTCGAGCAAACGGGTCCGACAGGCCTGTGGTGTCGGCAGCGATCAAACCACGAGCCTGGTACATGTGGCAGCGCAGCTGGAAGTGATGGTGCTCTAAAGACACAAACATCAAGCAGGTTGTCCAATACTCTGATACAGTGAGGAAGACCCTGACATTAACCAGCGTTTCCTGATCACAAGAGAGAAAAATCATGTTGACAGTAGAAAATACTTTAGAGAAGCTGTTGCGAGAATGATGTGGAGGCCGAGGGCTTGACTCTCAACTACGTGGAGTAACCAAAGATCATATACCCAGATTTGTATTGTGCAAGGTTGGAGGCAGTCACAAAGACTGGCAGTCTCATGGAGACAACACCCCCAACCCCCATCCATTCTCACCCCCACCTCTAATGAACAAACAACCCCTTACCCCCTCTCTGACTGAGGCCCCAAGTTATTGGTCAAGTGCCAAAAAATCTAAAGGAAGAAGAACAAAAAGACACACAAGTTGAAGGATGATCGGCAGCGATAGAGATAAAGTGATAGCGGAAGTGAGTCATGAGGTTTGAGAGATTTGTGATATTTAGCATGTTTGGGTCCAGGACAGGGCTATTCAACTGGTGGCCCAGAAGCCAAATCAGTTCTGCACACCAGTGGGTTCATTTTTAAATAAAGCTAGATTTTAAACCATAAAACAAGCATAATTAATCACAATAACTGCAGGATTTCCAGCCCCTGAGCGCTTGGCTTTCAGTAAATGTGACCCCCTGAGCAATTTAGTGGAATGGCCCTGTAGTTTAGTGTGCTTAGGTTAGTCAGCTTGAGTGTGTTTGAGCCGAAACATTGAGGTTGTTTTTGAATGTGAAGTTGTAGCTTCAGTTTGAGGTAGGGGACGGAGCCGCAGACCCAGAAACCTTTGCAGAGAGTGGTGAAGGCTGCACAGAAGATGTTGAGTCAGTCTCCCCACCATCACAGACATCTACACCTCCAGATGCAGGAAGAGGGCTACCTGCATCATGAAGGACCACACTCACCCAGCACACACACTTTTTGCCCCACTCCCCTCAGGAAGGAGGTTGAGGAGCATTAAGTGTAGAACCACTAGACTGAGGAACAGCTTCTACCCTGAGGCTGTTAGACTCATGAATCTCTAACCAGGATAATCACTGGGAAAAACCATATCATGTTGCTGCTGATCTGTTTCATGTTGCTGCTGATCTGTTTCATGTTGCTACTGATCTGTTTCATGTTGCTGCTGATCTGTTTCATGTTGCTACTGATCTGTTTCATGTTGATGTGTTCATGCGTGCTCATCTGCTCACACAGACGCATGTTCGTGCTGCTGTTCAACGTAATGTTTTTATGCTGTTAGTGCTTAGTGTATATTTAGTTGATGTTTTTCTTAGTTCATATCTTAGATGTTGTTACTGTTTTTATTTTACATTTTATTGTTGGATGTAACTGGGACCCTGTGGACATAATTTAGCTTCACCACGTGTACCACATGTGGTAGAATGACATTAAAGAATCTCTGACTGAAATGGACGGAGCTGGGGAGTCCAAACCTTCTCAGAGAGAAGAGGCAAAGATGAAAAAGAAAAGACTAATTAGAAACGGGAGGAATTTGACGATCAAGTGGGAGATCCATTATTTGTTTTTGATAACATTTCAATATTCAGTGGCTTCAGTTCTAACTAGAGTTTTTTTCGTCACTCTCCCTTTGCTGCTGATGGACTTTAAAAGAAGCATGAAAAGTGTACGTGATGATAAAAAGTGTTTCCTCACCGGAGCAGACCAGATGTGACGGGGGACTGCTGGCGTCAGCGCCCTCTGTGTCCGCTTTGAATCCTGCAGGCAGATTGTCCAACATGTGGCCCGAGTCCGAACAAGATCCGAACCAAAGATAAACATCCAGCTTGGCTTGGAGTGACAGCCCTGCAACACGCTTTCCTGGAGCCTGCACACACACACGTGCACAGATGTAGTTTCCACCAGTCGGCCCCAGGCACGGACCAGTTTCCATGTTTACCACTCTGCTAAAACATCCAAACACTGAATTTTCTCATCATCATATTCATACAGTTTCAATGCCTTGGAATAAAAGGCCTCTAAAGCAGTTTTGGTGTTGCCTCCTTATCACATGGACCCCCCCGGCCTGTTCTTCAGAGTTGTGAGTTGCAGCTGGCGGGGGAATTCCCTCCATGTTTACAGGCGTTACAGTTGGTTGTACATTTGATCCAGCAGATAATCCAGTCAGTCATGACCAGAGGAGTGACGCCGGTCTCTTTCTTTAAACGGAACAATGTTTTAGAATAAATGTTCACAACAAGTTCAAGAGTTAGCACGTTAGCTGCTTTTACAGCTGCAGGCTAACTCCGCTAATTAAGAACTGAATTCAGTTTGTCAGAAAGTTAACATTACTTATCAAAGAGCCGACCAGCAGATATGTTATAAATAAACTATAAATAAGACAATTTTATTGGTCACTAATTCATTTCAATTGTTTTTTAAATTTATTCTCAGTAGTTGTGTTTAAACTTCAGCCTCGATCTTAAATATCATCATAAATAAAAATGTTATCAACAAAATCTGCTCTGCGTTTAAGATGAAATTGTGACCGTCAGCAGGTTGTTCTCTGAGTCTCATTATTTAGTTGCATCAAAATTAAAACTTTAAGTACATTTTTTATGTACTTATATTTCTATTGTACCTGTAGAATAATCTTTAAGCAATATATATAAAGTTATTTAGGCAGTAAAAGGTGTCATGTAATGGCTGTTTTGTTTTAAAATAATCATTTTGTGAAACAGAGACTTTTGCTGCCGCCACATGTTGGACAGAGCTGCGTGTGACACCACAACATGTGGGAATGGCTGGGGGTCCAACCTGGGACTTTTGGGTCCCAGGTTGGCTGCCTTGCCTCTACCCCATTTCTATCTGAACATGTGATTCCTGACCTGCCATTGTGTATCTATTCCTACCAAACCCAGCCGGTCGAAGCAGATGGTCCTCTTGTCCTGATCCTGGTTCTGCTAAAGGTTTCTTCCTCATGAGGGAGTTTTTCTTTCCACTGTCGCCTTCATGCTTGTTCAAGATGAGAGTTCAGTGATGGAGTTAAACTCAAAGCTGCTCCTCAGATAAATAATGTTCATTATTATTTTATAGATGAATGTTTCTGTTAATTATTATTTTATATTTGAATGTTTCTGTTAAATTATTATTTTATACATGAATGTTTCTGTTCAATTATTATTTTATACATGAATGTTTCTGTTCAGTCCCTGAGATGAGTCTGTTCTGACTTGGAGATTTAAAAATGAATTGAACTGAATTGGATGTGTGTGTGTGTGTGTGTGCGTGCGTGCGTGCGTGCGTGCGTGTGCGTGTGTGTGCGTGCGTGCGCGTACCTTCAGAAACAACGTTACGATCTTGCCACAGAGAAGTCCTCTGGACTCTGGGCTGCTGGAGTACAACAGGTCTCTGGTTCGAACCCTGGCGTAAGCGATGCGCTTGTTGTTGCTTAGCAACCAGACAAACGTGTCCGGCACCGTGTGCTGGGGCTGCACCACAAGGACACAAGCAAGTTATAAACAGGAGTTAGGAATCAGATGGTGCACACGTGAACACTTCGGGCGTTTCCTGCACCTCCTCAACCAGGAAGCGTAGTTTCTGCGTCAGTTTCGTGGCTTCTTGCAGCATCTCTTTCACTCCTGCAGTTTTTCTTCTTCTCTTCTCCAGGGAGTTTACCTCTGTGATCAGACTCTCCTGCAACACAAACACAAATGAATGCACGGTGGGTTTTTACCATCAGCTTTGCTACACATGCACACGTTCACAGGACGTTACTGACAACTTCTCAGCTGTTTCCAACTCCAATCTTATCTAAACCTTTAAGATCTCCTTCAGGTTTTACTAAAGTGCTTGAAACTGATAATTGCACAACACAGACTTCTTGAGTCCACCCAGAAACACAAGGAATTCAAAACCTTAACCACTGTCAAAATCTGTGACTTTTTAAATGTATTTGATTTGAAATGTTTGTGTCTTTGATGACTTGTGACAAAAGGGTGTCAGCAAAGGTCAAAGGAAAGGTCCACAAGTTGTGAGAGCAGCTAAGTTGTATGGTTTGGAGACAGAGACATGGACAAAAAGACAGCAGACACAACTGGCAAATGACAGGAAAAGGTAGCAACCTGGTTGACATGATGCTGAGAAGGAAGGTACAGTTGTGCACAAAAGTTTTGAGAATGGCACAAATTTTGGTTTTCACTAAGTTTGTTACGTCAGTAGTTCTTCAGAACATTTTATCAGATGTTTATATGTACGATATTTATCTATATATCAGTTCTTGTGATGTATAAAATACAATTATGAGATGAGAAGATATCTGGATGCAGTTACAGAGGAAATGGGGTAGTTGGAGCGAAGACAGAGGATGCAAAGGACAGAGTGAGGACAGAGGATACAGAGAACAGAGTGAAGACAGAGGATGCAAAGGACATAGTGAGGACAGAGGATGCAGAGGACAGAGTGAGGACAGAGGATGCAGAGGACAGAGTGAGGACAGAGGATGCAGAGGACAGAGTGAGGACAGAGGATACAGAGGACAGAGTGAGATGGAGGTGGATGAGTCGCTGTGGTGACCCCTGAGGAAGGAACAACTACCAAAAGTCCACCACAGTCTTTGTGAAATAAATGAGTGAAATCAGCAGTCATGTTTTGTTGCCAACAATTCTGAGCCAGTTGTGGAACATTGAAGAAAGTCTTCATGAACATGGAGTCAGTCAAATAATCCCCAGATATACAGGTGCAGGTCATAAAACTAGAATATAATGAAAAAGTTGATCTATTTCAGTAATTCCATTCAAAAAGTGAAACTTGTATATCATACCATACCATTTTATTTATAGAGCACTTAAAACAGCTACAAGGCCAACCAAAGTGCTGTACAGACAGAACAACAGGTAACACACAAAGCAAAATACAAAATGAGGTAAATCAGAATATAGACATAAAAACGATGGAGATAATGACGACTAACCAGTGTGGAGCGTACGCTGGTTTTATATTCTATTAAATTATATTCATTCATTACACACAGACTGATATTTCAAATGTTTATTTCTTTTAATGTTGATGATTATAACTGACAACTAATGAAAACCCCAAATTCAGTATCTCAGAAAATTAGAATATTGTGAAAATGTTCAATATTGAAGACACCTGGTGCCACACCCTATTCAGCTGATTATCTCAAAACACCTGTAAAGGCCTTTAAATGGTCTCAGTCTAGTTCTGTAGCTACACAATCATGGAGAAGACTGCTAACTTGACAGTTGTCCAAAAGACGACCATTGACACCTTGCACAAGGAGGACAAGACACAAAAGGTCATTGCTAAAGAGACTGGCTGTTCATAGAGCTCTGTGTCCAAGTACATTAATAGAGGTGAAGGGAAGGAAAAGATGTGGTAGAAAAAAGTGCACAAGCAACAGGGATAACTGCACCCTGGAGAGGATGGTGCAACAAAACCCATTCCAAAATGTGGGGTAGATTCACAAAGAGTGGACTGCAGCTGGAGTCAGTGCTTCAAGAACCACCATGCACAGATGTATGCAAGACATGGGGTTCCGCTGTCACATTCCTTGTGTCAAGCCACACTTGAACAAGAGACGGTGTCAGAAGCGTCTCACCTGGGACTGCTGCTGAGTGGTCCAAAGTAATGTTCTGTGGTGAAAGTACATTTTACATTTCCTTTGGAAATCAAAGTCCCAGAGTCTGGAGGAAGAGGAGAGGCACAGAACCCACGTTGCTTGAGGTCCAGTGTCAAGTCTCCACAGACAGTGATGGTTTGGGGGCCATGTCATCTGCTGGTGTTGGTCCACAGTGTTTTCTGAGGTCCAAGGTCAACACAGCATCTACCAGGAAGTTTTAGAGACTTCCTGCTTCCTGCTGCTGACCAACTTTATGGAGATGCAGATTTCATTTTCCAACAGGACTTGGCACCTGCACACAGTGCCTAAGCTACCAGTACCTGGTTTAAGGACCATGGTAACCCAGTTCTTAACTGGCCAGCAAACTCTCCTGACCTTAACCCCATGGAAAATCTATGGAGTTTTGTGAAGAGGAAGATGTGATACACCAGAGCCAACAATTCAGAAGAGCTGAAGGCCACTATCAGAGCAACCTGGACTCTCAGAACATCTGAGCAGTTCCACAGACTGATCCACTCCATGCCACGATGCATTGATGCAGTAATCCAGACAAAAGGAGCAACAACTAAGTATTGATGCTGAACATGCTCATACTTTTCATGTTCATACTTTAAAGTTGGCCAACATTTCTAAAAATCGTATTTTTTGTTGGTCTTAAGTAATTTTCTAATTTTCTGAGATACTGAATTTGGGCTTTGCGTTAGTTGTCAGTTATAATCATGAACATTAAAAGAAATAAACATTTGAAATATACAACACTTGTAAACTACAGAAGAATCAGAGGAACGTTCATGTTTTCAGTTGTGAGTTCGTGTGACTGTCCCACCAGCTCCTGTCTGCACATCGTCAGGCGCTTCTTGTCGAGCTGCGTCATGTAGCTTTGCTTGAGTTCAGCCTTCAGCTTGGCCTCTGCAGCTGCGATAAAGTCCCTGCAGGACACACGACAGACGGTCAACAAGCTGCTCTCTGCTCACTATCACTTTATTCAGGGTTCTTTTGAAGGTATGGCATGGCAAGACTCACATGTTGTGTGTCATTCAAAGAAGACAAAATTAGATTTCTTTTTGTTTCAACTGTCTTTACTTTGTGTTTTCAATAAAAGTTACTTCGGGAGGGTTAAAAGAAAAAAAAACTGAAACAGGAATCAGCTGCTTCCCTTATAGATCATGAGTTTATGAGGATTTTACATGTCCCGTCAGACTGCGTGATGAAAGGGTGCAACTTTGTTTTCGTGTTTGTTTCTGTAAAGTGGCTGCAGCCAGCTGACCTCAGAGCGTCTGCTGAGGAGCCGCTGGCCGAGGCTGTTCCAACATACAAACAACTGTTCCAGAAAAAACAATGAAGACAGGTCGATTATAGAGACAGAAACGCTTCTCTTCTGAGTATGAAACATCCCTGAGAAAAAGACTACAGCGCGATAAACGTCTTCTTTCTTCTTGAAGCAGAACCGGACTTTTAGGGTGTTGCATGTTTGGGCTGAGGCAGATATTACAATCTGTATCTGGCAGTGTTGTGTTTCTCTTCTTAAAGAGTAGTGTGATACTGTTCAGCTTTTAATCATGACACAATTTCAGCCTGATCCAAAGAACACTGTTGGAACCCAAATGTCCCACATTCACATTTAGTGGACAACTTCTACCTTTTATTTTAGAACAAGGTGTCCACCATAGTTATCACATGCACTGAGACTAATTTTAGTTTTTGTCCACAGGACACGTGGCACAGTGGCTCAGTTGGTAGAGCTGTTGCCTCTCAACAAGAAGGTTGCCAGTTCAAATCCCATCCGGGGACCTTTCTGGGTGGTGTCTGCATGTTCTCTCCGTGCTGAGGGGTTTTTCTCCAGGTGCTCCAGTTTCCTCCCACAGACCAAAAACATGCATGTTAGGCTGACTGGTAACTCTAAACTGTCCCTAGGTGAGAGAGAATGATTGTTTGTCTCGTTTGTCTCTATGTGTCCCTGTGATGGACTGGAGACCTGTCCAGGGTACCCCCCCTCCTCACAGTAACTGCTGCATATGGGCACCAGTGACCCGCATGACCCAAAAAGGAAGAAGCAGGTCAATATGAAGGATGGATGTGACACTTTTCCTCTAATCTAAAAAGCATGCATCAGGAGACTTTTCCACTAAATTTTGCTTGTTGGTGGTTGTACAGTGGTGAAGTGGTTAGCACCTTTCTCTTGTTTGCTGGTTGGAGTGTGTGTACTGGAGGGGGCAGTCCTCATTGGTTCTTATCAGGGCTAAGGTTTGGACTTTGTGTTGGGAGCTCTCGCTCCCTGAATGACTCCCGTTGTGGAGGTCTTAAATAATCTTTGGACAGTAATTAATAAACAGTGATCATTTTTAAACAACTAAACGTTGCACGTCAGATAAACTGGTTGACCACATCAAATATATTGATGTTTTTTAGCTGTTGGTTCCACTGGTACAGTCGTCCCTTGTTTATTGCGGGGGTTACGTTCCTCTAGGGAAGGTAGCGAGGGACTACTGTACTTATGTACCTGGGCGGCTGTGGCTGAGCGGTTAGAGCAGTCATCCTCCAATGCAAGAGTTGGGGGTTCTAATCCACCAGCAGTCAGATACTGAAGTGTCCATGGGCAAGACACTGAACCCCTCAGTGCCTCTGATGTGTGTCCCATCAGTGTGTGAATGTGCTAAAGCTCTGATTAGTCTTTGTAGAGATCTAGTAGAGATCTAGTAGAGATCTAGTAAAGTGCTGTGTTAATGAGGCCCAGGTTGTTGTAAAGAGCTTTGAGTGTCTTGATGAGACAGAAAGGAGCTGTATAGGTACAGTCCATTTACCTGGTTCAAGGTTCCAAGAATGGGGGGGATACTTTCTAAAGGAGTGGAGTGAGGCTCGTGGTTATTACCTGGCATCTGAAGCAAAGTCTCTGAGGGCAGCTCTGAGAGTCGACTCAGCTGCTGAGTCCAACTTCGTGTGAAGCTTGGCTGCACTGCTCACTCCCTCCTCCTGCAGAACACAAACAAACAAACAAACAGCTCATCAAAGTGGGTTGTTCAAATCTGGATCCCACAAACACAAGCTGAGCTCTGGAAAAGTTGGGACTTGACGTCAAATGTGAATAAAAGCAGAATAATCTGGTTTGCATCGTGTTCCAGAGCAACGCAGTGAACATGAAATGTTGAAACGGTTTTATTAAGGTTTAAAAAGGCTGTGAGATGAAAATGAAACGAGATCAATCCTGCGTTCAGCCCAAGCTCCAGCAAAGCTACAAGTTTATTGACTTTATGCACAAACGATGACACGACTTTACACACAATACGTTTCCATTTTAGAAACCCGTCCTAAGAGGAGACGTTATGTCCAGACACCGTCTGTCCATCTGTCTGTAGAGTCCTCGTGGGTCAAGATTTAGCTGAAGTGATTTTAAGGTCACAGGGTCAAAGGTCAAAGGTGACCTCTTAATGAAAGCTTATCTACTGTCTACTCCAACCTGCCAGCCCAGCATCATGTGAATGTCAAACCCTTTGTCCTCCATGAGACGTCCACAGTAAGATGTCCTCAGACTCTGTCTCCATGCTGGATCTTATCATGTTCAGACCACTTCCGATAAAGAACTGTTGAGGGGTTCTGGTTCTGGTGAAGTCCACCTCTCTGCTCTTCAGATGGTCTGGGTCAGCTGCTGGTCTCTAACAGGTGAGTTCATCACCTGAAGCTGCAGGTTCGTGTTTGTCCATATCCATGCTCCACAGAACAACACAGGAAGTCCTTCTAACTGTTCAACTCCTCGTCTTTTCTTCACACAGGACAATAAAATTAATCCTGCACCAAAATAAACTAATGTTTCTGTCTGCACCTGTTTAGAACTTAATTGATGTTATTTTTATATTTTCTGTTATTTTTTATATCTTGTGTGATTCCTTGTGTCTGTTCCTTTGTACTGAAACTCTGGCACAACAATTTCCTGCAGGATCCATAAAGTTCTTCTTATCTTAACTGTCCATCAATTTCAAAATGACCTCATCCTTTCTGACAGCACGGCCCAATTTAAACATTTAATATTGTTACTGTGTTCTGCTGTGAATAAAGTTTATGTTGATGATCTTTAAAAATGATTGTATTCAGGTTTTATTCACATTTTAAACACTTCCCAACATGTTATGGAATTGAGGTTGTAACAACTCACAGTGTGGGTGGGTGTGTGCGTGCATGTGTGTGTGCATGTGTGCGTGCATGTGTGCGTGTGTGCGTGCGCGTGTGTGCGCGTGTGTGTGCACGTGTGTGTGAGAGAGTGCGTGCGTGTGCGTGCGTGCGTGTGTGTGTTAAAGTACTCACAAACAGTATGGCCATATTCTCCAGCATGTTGGAGTTGTACAGCCGGTAGGTTCTGTCCTCCCAGTGACTCAGGATGTGAACACAGGGCTTCTTCTTCTCCAGCGGTAAAAACATGTAGTGTCTGAATGTAGTCACACACACACACACAGAGTTATTCCCTTTTAAACCCAGAAACATGCAGTGATAAACGATACGTGTCCTTATATGAGTCTAAGAACAGCAGGAGGCTGTTAGGAGACCCGGCAGGATGAGAAGTAGAAACTTGAAGAACGCTCCAACTTTTATAGGAGACCATATTAATGAGACACAAACATCTGATGGAGCGATGAGTCTTCATCTGCTCACATGTATCAGCAGGAACTGATCACTGATCCACCGTACCCGTATGAGAACAGGTACAGGTACAGGTACTACCAGCTGGTCCTCTGAGACATAAGTTAGATAAGATAGAACTTTCCTGGTCCTGCAGTAGGAGGAGTCTGTATGTTTTATCTGAGTATGCTGAACTACAACAGTAGATTATAAGAAGCTGGTGCACCACAGAGCTGGGGCTTTGACTGAAGACTTTGAGGTTCATGGATCTTGTTGCTTTTAGTCTTGGATGGTGGATTACCTCCTGTAGATTAACTCCTGTAGATTACTTCCTGTAGATTACCTCTTGTAGATTACCACTAGATTACTTCTTGTAGATTACTTCCTGTAGGTTACCTCCTGTAGATTACTTCCTGTAGATTATCTCCTGTAGATTACTTCCTGTAGGTTACCTTCTGTAGAATACTTCCTGTAGGTTACCTCCTGTAGATTACTTCCTGTAGATTACTTCCTGTAGGTTGCCTCCTGTAGAGTACTTCCTGTAAACTACCTTATATAGATTATTTCCTGTAGATTACTTCCTGTAGGCTACCTCCTGTATATTACTTCCTGTAGGTTACCTCCTGTAGATTACTTCATGTAGATTACCTCTAGTAGATTACCACTAGATTACCTCCTGTAGATTACTTCCTGTATGTTATCTCCTGTACATTACTTACTGTAGATTACCACTACATTACCTCCTGTAGATTAACTCCTGTAGATTACCACTAGATTACTTCTTGTAGATTACTTCCTGCAGGTTACCTCCTGTAGATTACTTCCTGTAGGTTACCTTCTGTAGAATACTTCCTGTAGGTTACCTCCTGTAGATTCGCCAAGTTTTCGTGTGAGTTAGTTCACTGTGGAGACCCTGAAGAAGGAACAGCTGAAAGAAGAAAACCTAATTTTTTAGATGCACCTGTAGAAGCAGGGGGGGGGGGGGGGTGATGGGGGGCTTGACCCCGCAGATTTATCTTAGGCCATCCAGTCATTTGAGGAAACTACACTTTGAAGCAATATAAAAACTGGAAAGCTTTGTTTCCTCAAATGATAGAGGTGGTCAGTTTACATAGATACGTGGTGGTAGCCATCTTGGATATTGATGTGGCAACTCACTTTTTCATACTGAACTTAATTAGGCCTAGATGCAGCGACACCCCAAAATGAAAGTGGGTATCTCTCTTATTTTTCAATTGCTCTTGGCACCAGGACACCCTAGGCCACAGTTCAGTGATCGACTTTGTTGTTGTCTCATCTGATCTGCGGCCGCATGTCTTGGACACTTGGGTGAAGAGAGGGGCAGAGCTGTCCACTGATCACTACCTGGTGGTGAGTCGGCTCCGATGGTGGGGGAGGATGCCGGGCAGACCTGGAAGACCCAAACGTATTGTGAGGGTTTGCTGGGAACGTCTGGCAGAGTCTCCCATGAGACGGAGCTTCAACTCCCACCTCCGGGAGAGCTACGAACATGTTCCGGGGGAGGCGGGGGACATTGAGTCCGAGTGGGCCATGTTCCGCACCTCTATTGTTGAGGCAGCTTATCAAAGCTGTGGCCACAAGGTTGTCGGTGCCTGTCGCGGCGGTAACCCTCGAACCCGGTGGTGGACACTGGCGGTGAGGGATGCTGTCAGGCTGAAGAAGGAGTCCTATTGGGCCTTTTTGGCCAGTGGGACCCCAGAAGTAGCTGATGGTACCGGCAGTCCAAGCAGAATGCGGCTTGGGTGGTCACTGAGGCAAAAACCGGGCATGGGAGAAGTTCGGAGAGGCCATAGAAAATGACTTCTGTACGGCTTCGAGACGATTCTGGTCCACCATTTGGCATCTCGGGGGGGAAGCGGTATGCCACCAACACTATTTATAGTGGAGATGATATGCTGCTGACCTCAACCCAGGATGTCGTTGGTTGGAGTACTAGAAGACCTTAATCCCACTGGCATCTTCCACTGAGGAAGCGGAGCCTGGGGACTTTGGGTTGGGCTCTCCAATCTCTGGTGCTGAGGTCACCGAGGTGGTTAAAAAGCTCCTCGGTGGCAAGGCCCCAGGGGTGGATGAGATTTGCCCAGAGTTCCTAAAGGCTCTGGATGTTGTGGAGTTGTGTTGGCTTACATGACTCTGCAATATTGCGTGGACATCGGGGGCAGTTCCCCTGGGTTGGCAGACTGGGGTGGTGGTCCTCCTATTCAAAGAGGGGGACCGTAGAGTGTGTTCCAACTACAGGGGAATCACGCTCTTAAGCCTCCCTGGTAAGGTCTATTCAGGGGTTCTGGAGAGGAGGGTCTGTCGGATAGTCAAACCTCGGATTTAGGAGGAGCAGTGCGGTTTTCGTCCTGGTCGTGGAAACCTGGACCAGCTCTACACCCTCAGCAGGGTCCTGGAGGGTGTGTGGGAGTTTGCCCAACCAGTCTACATGTGCTTTGTGGACTTGGAGAAGGCATTCGACCGCGTTCCTCGGGGAGCCCTGTGGGGGGTACTCTGGGAGTATGATGTACCAGGTCCTTTGCTACGGGCTATTAGGTTCCTGTATGTCCGGTGTCAGAGCTTGGTCCGCATTGCCGGCAGTAAGTCGGGCTCGTTCCCAGTGAGAGTTGGACTCCGCCAAGGTTGTCCTTTGTCACCGATTCTGTTCATAACTTTTATGGACAGAGTTTCTAGGCACAGCCAAGGTGTTGAGGGGATCTGTTTTGGTGGCCTTAGGATCGCTTCTCTGTTTTTTGCAGATGATGTGGTCCTATTGGCTTCATCAAGTTGTGATCTTCAGCTTTCGCTAGAGCAGCTCGCAGCCGAGTGTGATGCGGCCGGGATTAGGATCAGTTCCTCCAAATCCAAGGCCATGGTCTTGAGCCAGAAAAGGGTAGAGTGTCCTGTCCAGGTCAGGGAGGAGGTCCTGCCCCAGGTGGAGGAGTTCAAGTATCTCGGGTCTTGTTCACGAATGAGGGAAAAATGGAGCGTGAGATTGATAGGCGGATAGGTGCAGCGTCAGCAGTGAAGTGGGTGCTGTACCCATCTGTTGTGGTGAAGAGAGAGCTGAGTCAAAAGGCGAAGCTCTCAATTTACCGGTCGATCTATGTTCCTGCCCTCATCTATAGTTAGGATGCCTCCTGGACACCTCCCTGGTGAGGTGTTCCGGGCACATCCCACTGGGAGGAGATCCAGAGGAAGACCCAGGACACGCTGGAGGGACTATGTTTCTCGGCTGGCCTGGGAACGCCTTGGGATTACCCTGGAGGTTCTGGCCCAAGTGGCTGGGGAGAGGGAAGTCTGGGCCTCCCTACTTAAGCTGCTACCCCCGCGACCCAACCCCGGATAAGCGGAAGAAAATGGATGGATGGATGTTTCCCCAATTGTTAGCTTCTGGTTTGACAGGATGAGGCTCATCCTTTGCCTGGCAGTTGTGATGAATGACAAGTCATATTGAATCACATCTCATTGCAAGTGAAGGCTGAATCACGTCATGAATCAGCCTTTGCTGCTCTTGGCACAATGTTAGATACATAAACTGATTTATCAGTTTAGGAACCCGACTGATGTCCATGTGGTTATCATAGACTACAACGGTGTGGGCTACTTAAAGGACCAGTCAGTGTAAAACTTTCCCTGATGCCCCTGAGAGAACGTGGATGAAGTAAAGAAAACAAGTTTAAACAACTCAACCTGTTTCCTTCCACGATCTGAGGTCTCTCTGGGGGGGTGGTGGACTTGCAACTCATGCTGGAGTCTGATGGGTCTTTGGGCAGGAGGAGGGTGGAGGAACCAACAGGATAGGAGCCAGGAGGGGATAAGCCACTCACATCGCTGCTGTCCGGGATGTCTAGAGCTTTTCTCCTCCGAGTCACAGCAGGACTCGTGGCACTCGGATGAGCTGCAGACTCCAGAACATTACCAAAGTTACCTGAAGGAGGAATCGAAGCAGAGAGGTGTCAGTGGTCCATCAACTGACAGATGATAATACATAAAAGTGGGTTTAACAAGGAAAATATGTATTTCACTGACATTTTATGTTTGTGTTTGTGACTGTGTGTGAAAAGCTTTTTTGTTTTAAAAGTGTCGACAGTGACTCACCCAGGGAGAACTCAAAACTGATGGGCCTGTCGCCGATCTTCCGGTCGATCATGGTGGCTTCAAAGATTGCACCGAACAGCATGAAACTCTCACAGTCATCTTCAGTCGGCTGCACACACACCGTGTTTAAGTGAGTTTTACAAATATGATTGTAACTAACAAACACTAACACCATAATCTGCTGAAGACAGACCCACACAATGAGCTCCATGTCTGGATTCTTGTTGACAAACTCCAAAACTAGGTATGGGTTTTCAAACTCATGGGTTTAGTTTTTGACATGAGAAAGTGTAGAATAGCCAGATACTACCGTAAGATACAGACTCATGCTAGCTGTAAATGAAACAACACAATTCAACCTTTATTTCTACAGGTAAATCCCATTGAGCCTCGAGGACTCATTTACAAGAGAGACCTGATTTAATAAAGAATGATGACAACAATGGACAACAGCAACAAAAATAAACAGTTATAAAAAGTCATACAATTTTTTTTTAACAAGTAGGATGTCTAAAAAAAAGAAAAGTAAAAAGAAAAGAAAAGTAACAAAAAACATCTAGATTCTAAGTCGAATGTAGAAAACTAAAAACAGGAACATGTCTGCATTGGTCCCTGTCAGGAGTCCAACAGATTCTTAAAACCACTTAGAGAGGTCAAAGGTCGAGAGCTTCAGATCTTTTTGTAAGATATTCCAAGAAACAGGAGCGGAGTAGGAGAAGGTCCTTTTGTCTAGTTCAGTCCTCATTAAGGGAACACTGCAGGTAATAATGTCCTGAGAGCGCACGCTGTAGCTGCACTCACACAGAGACATGTAGGAGGAGATGTATGAAGGCAGCAGACCAGGAAGTGATTTAAAGATGAAAATGTACCAGTGGGAGAGTCTGTATGAAGTTAATGATGTCCAGTTAACCAGTGAATACTGGGTGCAGTGGTGGGTACAATAATCACAGCCAGTTATGAATCTTAGTGCACCATGATAGACAGCATCCAACATCTGCAGCATCCAACATCTGCAGCATCCAACATCTGCAGCATCCAACATCTGCAGGGTTCTTGTAGGAGCGTTCATGTAAATAATGTCACCGTAATCAATGGAGGGAAGGAAAGTCACAGATACAAGGTGTTTCCTAACATTCAGGGTTAGACAGGATCTGTTTCTGAAAAAGAAACCCAGTTTAACTTCCAGTTTCTTTACCAAGTTTTCCACATGAAGCTTAAAAGAAAGATGTGAGTCGACCAAGATACCCAAATATTTATAGGAATCAACAAACTCAATGGGGACACCATTTGAGGATGAAATCAGAGGAAGAACTGCTGGGACCAACTTCCTATTTAAAAAAGCATCCCTTTGGTTTTGTCGGCATTTAGGACAAGTTTGAGGTGAAACAAATCAGTCTGGATGATGTTGAATGCAGATTTCAAAAGCTGGAAAGCCTTAGCAACTGTTTTAGCTCGACAATAAACAACTTTTTCATCAGCATAGAAATGTATGGATGCATTAGGGATGTTTTTACCTACATTATGTATGTAGATTGTAAAGAGGGTAGGTCCTAAGACTGAGCCTTGTGGTACACCATTGTTGACTGATAAATAACTGGAGGAAGTACCATTATGTTGAACACATTGCCTCCGGTCTGAGAGATAGTTAGAGAACCAACCAATAGTGTGTTCTGAGAAACCAGTTTCAGAGAGTTTATGACACAAGATGTTCTGATCCACAGTGTCAGAATCTTTAGACAGGTCTAAGAAAAGTGCAGCACAATAATCCTTAGCATCCAGTGCTTCAAAAACGTCATTAAGAACCTTCAGTGAAGCAGTGGTTGTGCTGTGTTGCTTTATGTTGTATTTGTGACCTTTGTTGGTTGCTCGTTGCTTATTTACTGTTAAGGTTTTAGCTTTTTAAAATGTCCATCTGTCCATTCATCCATCCATCCATCCATTCATCCATCCATCCATCCATCCAACCACCCATCAATCCATCCATCCATCCATTCATCCTTCCATCCATCCATCCATCCATCCATCCATCCATCCATCCATCCATCCATCAGAGGATCCATCCATAATCCCAGTTCCAAAGAGCTCTACAGTGACTGGTCTGAATGACTACCAGTCAGTAGTCCTCACCGTGATAGTCGCTAAATGCTTCGAAAGACTGGTCATGACCCACATCAAAACAACCATCAACATCAGTGTGGACCCTCATCAGTATGCATACCATGAGAATTGATCAACAGAAGACACCATCTCCTCTGTGGTCCACACTGCTCTCACCCACCAGGAGCAGAAGGACTCTATGTCCGTATGCTCTTTGTGGACTTCACATCTGTCTTCAACACCATGATCCCCCAAACCCTGATGGACAAACTACTCACACTAGGACTAAGCCCCTCCATTTGCAACTGGGTCCTGGACTTCCTAATCAACAGATCACAGTCTCTGAAGATCCATAATTTATCCTCCTCCACCATAATCCTCAGCACTGGCTCCCCACAGGGCTGTGTGTTGAGCCCCCTCCTGTTCACTCTGCTTATGTATGACTGCACACGTACCCATCCAGGCTGTCACATTGTAAAATTTGCAGACGATACAATGGTGGTGGGATGTATCACAAACAATAATGAGTCCATCTACAGGCAGGAGGTGGAACACCTGGAGAGCTGGTGCAAAGAGAATAACTTTCACATCAATGTGGAGAAGAAGAAGGAGATGGTTGTGGATTTCAGATGGAACAAACACACCTACACCCCCTGAATGTAGGAGGATCTGTGGTGGAGGAAGTGGTCTCCAGCTACAAGTACTTGGGTGTGCACCTGAACAACAACCTCAGCTGGAGCAACAACACCACCAGCCTGATGAAGAAAGCTCATCAGAGACTCTACTTCCTCAGACGGCTGAGGCGAGCTGGTCTGGAAGCTCAGTCCTCACCTCCTTCTACAGGTGTGCAGTGGAGAGCATCCTGTGCTCCAGCATCAACGTGTGCATGGAAGCTGCACAGCTGCAGAAAGAAAAGCTTTGCAGAGAGTGGTGAAGGCTGCACAGAAGATGTTGGAATCAGTCTCCCCACCATCACAGACATCTACACCTCCAGATGCAGGAAGAGGGCCACCTGCATCATGAAGGACCCCACTCACCCAGCACACACACTTTTTGCCCCGCTCCCCTCAGGAAGGAGGTTGAGGAGCATTAAGTGTAGAACCACTAGACTGAGGAACAGCTTCTACCCTGAGGCTGTTAGACTCATGAATCTCTAACCAGAATAATCACTGGGAAAAATCACATCCTGGTGCTGCTGATCTGTTTCATGTTGCTGCTGCTCTGTTTCATGTTGCTGCTGATCTGTTTCATAGTGCTGCTGATTTGTTTCATATTGCTGCTGATCTGTTTTATGTTGCTGCTGATCTGTTTCATATTGCTGCTCATCTGTTTCCTGGTGGTGTGTTTATTCATGATCATCTGCTCACACAGACTCATTTGTGCTGCTGTTCAGCAAATAGTTTTTGTACTAGTGCTTAATAATAATAATAATAATAATGAATTTAATTTGTAATGCACTTTTCATTAACAAAAATCTCAAAGTGCTACAAAGTGCAACTAAAATCAAAGATAAAATCAACTAAAGTCAAAGATAAAATCAACTAAAGTCAAAGATAAAATCAACTAAATCAGTGATAAAATCAACTAAAATCAATGATAAAATCAACTAAAATCAATGATAAAATCAACTAAAATCATTGATCAAATCAACTAAAATAAATGATAAAATCAACTAAAATCATTGATCAAATCAACTAAAATCAATGATGAAATCAACTAAAATCAATGATAAAAATCAACTAAAGTCAGTTATAAAATCAACTAAAATCAATGATAAACTCAACTAAAATCAATGATAAAATAAACTAAAATCAATGATGAAATCAACTAAAGTAATAATGAAATCAACTAAAGTCAATGCTAACATCAACTAAAATCAATGATAAAATCAACTAAAATCAATGATAAAACCAACTAAAATCATTGATAAAATCAAAGATAAAATCAACTAAAGTCAGTGATAAATTCAACTAAAATCAATGATAAAATCAACTAAAATCATTGATAAAATCAACTAAAAATCATTGATAAAATCAACTAAAATCAATGATAAAATCAATGATACAATCATTTGGAGGCAGGATAGGCTTGCTTAAAAAGAAAAGTCTTTAAGCCTTCTTTAAAGTCAGTCAATGATTGTGGAGCTCTCAGATATTCAGGGAGGGAGTTCCAGAGGCGGGGGGGCAGCCACACAGAATGCCCGATCTCCCATGGTTCTTAATTTAGTTCGTGGAAGGTGGAGGAGATGACTGTTCTGTGATCGTAGGGACCGGGTGGATGAATATGGAGCAAGAAGGTCCTTCAGATAATCCGGTGAATTTCCGTATAAACACTGATGGTGATGAGAGCAATTTTGTACTGAATTCTGTAGGTGACAGGAAGCCAGTGGAGGTTATGGCGTATGGGTGTAATATGTTCAAATTTACGAGCTCTCAATAAAATCCTGGCTGCACTGTTTTGAATATATTGAAGCTTCTGAAGGTTTTTGCCGGGTATTCCAGTAAACAGGGAGTTGCAGTAGTCGAGCCTGGTGTATTTTTAGTTTAGTGTATTTCTTAGTTCATATCTTAGATCTTATTATTGTTTTTCTTTACAATTTATACTTTTGTTGGATGTAACTGGGACCCTGTGTGCACAGTTTCATTCCACCACATGTACCAGATATTATGAGAATGACAATAAAGAAACCTTGACCTTGACTTTGACCTTGGCGAATGGTTTTCTTCACTCTCCTCTTAAATCCTCCATCTTTTCTGTCCAAACTTGGAATATTTTGGTCCTCTGAAGAATGTTTGTTATTCTCAAGGTGTACAAAAACTGATGTAAAGTTTATTCTTTGGCACTCTTAATAAATCTCAACAAATGTTATTTTAGTGGGATTACATAAATTTGCTACATCATCTTTTTATGGAGCACAAAATATATTTTATTCTTACCACAGGAGGAGATTCCACAGGCAGAACATCTGCTGCTCCAGCTTTCCCTTTGTCATCATCAGCTGCTCCTCCTGCACCTCCTCCACCTCCTCCTACAGCAGGAGTCTTCCCGTCCTTCCCTCCAGATTTGGCTGCTTTAGCATCTTTTACAGGTTTGCTCATTCGGCTGAGTTTGGACTCCGAGCCCGCCCCCCCTGACATGATCTCCACCGTCAGCTCCAAGTAGATCCGACCCCTGACCCCACACAGTCAGACACGAGGGTGTTGGCATCAAAACATTTGCCTTCAGTAAAATCTGTTTCCAATGTCACAAACCTGTAGGACACGCCCTCTCCGATGCCTTCATTGAGCTCTCCTGTGTCGTCGCCCAGAGAGTAGTTTCGGGCCGAGCCATACAAGTTGATCCAGGCGGGACCAAATGTTGGTAAGAACCCTGACGATGGAGAGAAACATGAAAACTACCAGGAGGAACCAACAACTCAAAGCAGTGTGCTGAGTGATGTCATTGACTCTGTTGCTTCCTGCCCTTCTGTCTGTTTTCATTCCTCTCTCTATCTCTCTAACCTTTGTCGCCATCTTGTTCGTTGGAAATGCGTCTCAGGTCTAAATAATGGGTTCCTATGGCGACATCATTTACGCTCCCCTCATCCCAGACCTGCAAGGAAAACAACAAAAATAATAATAATCTAATTTTACCAGGTAGACCAACTGAGGACCAGTTATTATTTACAATAACAACCTGATGCAAGAAATCTAAATTAGGCAGCATTTTTCCAGATTTGGAGACATTATTTTATTTAGTTCACAGACTTTCTGACCTGGATCTTCAGTCTCTGACACAAAGGAGGAAACATCTCGGTGAACACGATTTGCTCGTTCCACACCGGGTCGGCGGTGGACTTCTGAGTGGACGTGCGGCCCTAAAATACACAAATGACATCTTACTCAGCAAACACTCTAAAGTTTGTTTTAAACACTACAGAAAAACTACTTTCTAAATGTATGCACTTGTTTTCTTTAATATTCATTAAAAAATTTGGTCGGATGAATGGACAGACAAATGGATGAGTAGATGGACTCAATGAATAGATGGATAAATGGATGAATGGAAGGAGAATAGATGGTGTAGAAATATATATATATATATATATATATATATATATATATATATATATATATATATAGTATAGGTTAATTGTCAATGATTTGTTGAGATGAAAACATTTAATGAGAATAAAAATCATTTGATGTAGAAGAAAGGAGCGCAGTAATTTAACAACTGTTTGCATGTGTTCTTGGTCATCGTCTCCGTTGAACAGTTTTCAGCTCACCACTTGTCTGAAGAAGGTGACCACAACATACGGGTCTATGAGGGCCGTGTTGTCTCCGATGAAGGCCTTGGTGACGTTGGCCATGATGCTGGAGTTGTTCCTGGGGAGGCCCTCCGCTCGGTACACCTTCACACAGAAACGAGCCCACGGTCGTTCAGAGGGAAACCCCTCTGGAATCAACAAGTTCCTGACAGAAACAGCAGAGAAGAGCAAACATCTTAGAGAAGAAACGTCTAATTTAATCTACGACTCTGTTCTCATCGTCCATATTGTTTGGACGACAAGTCCCAAAGGTCAAACTGAACTTTTTTTTAAATGGAGGTCATTTCTTAAGGTAAATATGTTAAAACAGCTGTGAGCTTGTAGCTTTGACAGGAGAAATGTGCACTGGTGCTTCTAAACTTCACGTGAAAAATGGTCAAATGTTTTACACAAACAGTTCCTGAGTGTAAGATCACAGAGAAAATGAAATGTGTAAAATGACCTTCACACAGATCTAAATGCAACAGAATCATAATTTCTGAGTGATTTTTTTGTGTGTCTATATTTCAAGTACAACTAAAACAAACCAACCCCAGCTTTCTTTAAGCTGTTGATTTTCTAAGTGTTTGTTTGTTTGTTTGTTTCTGTAAAGACGACGAGGCTTCAAGTCAGTAAAAGGTCAAAATTTAAATGTGGGCTCAGTAACTGGTACATTTTTCATGTCATCTTTTGTTGTCAGGAGCAGACTTGTTGGGCGACCCGGCACGATGCGCGTCCAGCCCGTCTGGAACCGTACTTCCATTACTTCCATCGTCCATCTGGACTGCCTCACCCTCCTTCCCTCAATCAACATCCCTAACATTTTCACTGGAGCACGCTGCTAACAGGACCAATTCAATTCAATTCAGTTTATTTCTATAGCACCAGTTCACATCAAAGTTGTCTCAGGGACTTTACAGGAACATCCACATAAAAGCCAGTTAGTAAAGTTCTCTATCTAAGAATCCAGCAGACAAGATGAATCTTGGCTTCGGTGCAGTCTCCCATCCTGAGCAAGCACAGTGGAGACAGTGGAAAGAAAAACTCCCTTTAACAGGAAGAAACCTCCAGCAGAACCAGCTCAGGACAAGAGACCATCTGCTTTGACCGGCTGGGTTTGGTAGGAACAGATACACAATGGCAGGTCAAGAATCACATGTTAAGATAGAAATAGTATCAAATGAAAACTATTCAGTTTTAACAATTAATTTAAGGAAATGAGGTCAGTTTGTCCTCTAGTAGTCTAAGTCTATAGCAGCATAACAAGCCAACCCTAACTGCAGTTACTGGGAGAGATCATATCTCTCCAGTTTTAGCTTCTCTCCATTGGCTCCCTGTCAAATCCAGAATAGAATTCAAAATCTTACTTCTAACCAACAAAGCTCCCAACAACCTAGCTCCATCTTATATATCAGATCTTATTGGTCCATGTTTTCCTAACAGAGCACTTCACTCTCAGACTGCAGGTTTACTTGTGGTTCCTAGAGTTTCCAGCAGCAGAATGGGAGGAAGATCTTTCAGTTCTCAGGCTCCTCTCTTGTGGAACCAACTTCCAGTTTCTGTCAGTGAGGCTGACACATTGTCCAGTTTGAAGACTGGGATTAAGACTTTCTGTTTGATAAATCCTATAGTTGGACTCTGGCAGCAGCATTTTGGATCAACTGAAGACGTTTTAAAGAAGCATTTGGACACCCAGATAATAAACCATTGCAATAGTCCAGTCTAGACGTGACAAATGCATGGACCAGTTTTTCTGCATCATCTTTAGATCAGATGTTTCTAATGTTAGTGATATTACGCAGGTGGAAGAAGGAGGTTCTAGTAACGTTTTTAATGTGGGGGATAAAAGACATGTCCTGATCAAAAATAACACCAAGATTTTTAACATTAGAGCTGGAGGACAGATTAATGCATCTAAGGAGGGAGAAAGACTGAAACATTCATTACTAAGGTGCTCAGGTCCAAAAACTAAAACCTCAGTCTTGTCTGTTCAACAGGAGAAAATTAAGGGTCATCCAGGTTTTTATGTCTTTAAGACATGCTTGTAGTCTAAATAGCTGATTGGATTCCTTGGGTTTAATGGACAAATATAATTGTGTATCATCAGCATAACAATGGAAATTTATCCCATTTTGTTTAATAACTTTACCTAATGGAAGCATATATAAAGTAAAGAGTATTGCCCAAGCACTGAGCCCTGAGGAACTCCATGACTAACTTTGGTGTACAATGAAGATTTAGTATTTACATTTACAAACTGGAATCTATCAGATAGATATGATTAAAACCAATTTACAACCATTCCTGTAATTCCAAAGGCTGCGTTGACGTTGGACCTCAGAAAACACAGTGGACCAACACCAGCAGATGACATGGCCCCAAACCATCACTGACTGTGGAAACTTGACACTGGACCTCAAGCAACGTGGGTTCTTTGCCTCTCCTCTCTTCCTCCAGACTCTTGATTTCCAAAGGAAATGCAACATTTACTTTCATCAGAGAACATAACTTTGGCCATGTCATCTGCTGGTGTTGGTCCACGGTGTTTTCTGAGGTTCAAGGTCAACACAGCATCTACCAGGAAGTTTTAGAGACTTCCTGCTTCCTGCTGCTGACCAACTTTATGGAGATGCAGATCTCATTTTCCAACAGGACTTGGCACCTGCACACAGTGCCAAAGCTACCAGTACCTGGTTTAAGGACCATGGTAACCCAGTTCTTAACTGGCCAGCAAACTCTCCTGACCTTAACCCCATGGAAAATCTATGGAGTTTTGTGAAGAGGAAGATGTGATACACCAGAGCCAACAATTCAGAAGAGCTGAAGGCCACTATCAGAGCAACCTGGACTCTCAGAACATCTGAGCAGTTCCACAGACTGATCCACTCCATGCCACGATGCATTGATGCAGTAATCCAGACAAAAGGAGCAACAACTAAGTATTGATGCTGAACATGTTCATACTTTTCATGTTCATACTTTAAAGTTGGCCAACATTTCTAAAAATCGTATTTTTTTTATTGGTCTTAAAGTAATGTTCTCATTTTCTGAGATACTGAATTTGGGGTTTTCATTAGTTGTCAGTTCTAATCATCAACATTAAAAGAAATAAACCTTTGAAATATATCAGTCTGTGTGTAATGAATGAATATAATATACAAGTTTCACTTTTTGAATGTAATTACTGAAATAAATCAACTTTTTCATCATATTCTAATTTTATGACCAGCACCTGTATAAATAAACTGAATTGAATTGAATTGAATTGAATGAATTAAACAGATATGTAGACCTGTTTGATTTATCTGAGCTGTTAGCTGTTAGCTGTTAGCTGTTTGCTCTCTCAGTATAACATTCCCTACATCTCTTCACATAAAGTTTATGTTAACTTGCTGTAATTAATGTTGCATTAGGATTCGTCTCAACATGTTTTATTCAATCACCATTGAGAGGCAAAGTTATGAATGTTTGATAATGTTACAGCTCATGTACCAGAGGTTTTATTTATGGTATTTTAATGTAAATTCAGGAAATATTTTGGAGCACCCTCTGCCACAGGCCAGGATGAGACGCGACAGTTGTGTAGTTAAAGTTGTGTCTCGATAAAGTGCAGTTGTAGTACACAGATCTTCTTCACACAAAGACACATTTTGAGTGTCTGATGGTGCATGGTAATCTAAATATGTTGCGGTGCGTTCCAGAAAACCTTTGCTAACTGTATCGTCAACATTCAGTGTCGTACTTTTCTATCTGTTCTTCAGCATCGCTTGCTTTCAGCCCTGGCAGCATGGTGTCTCCCTTTGCCGAGACACTGACGTCACACTTAATGTAACCTTTGACCCCAGTGCTGATGTCAACAGGATTGGTCAACATCGCCCACTTATTGATGAACTGGTGACCTGGGGGGCAGAACAAAGACCGTCGTCACACAACTCCTCAGAATAAAGTGATTATTGGAGCTTGGTTTAGGCTCATCTGGACAGATTAGAGGACACGTGAGACAAAGGTGGACCTGGCTGCTTGTAGACCGTCCCTGCGTCCAACTTAAAGGACCCCACAGAGAAAGTCCTCAGCATTTTGGAGTGAACCACCTGCAGGGAGACGGATCAACAAGCCACACAGTCTGAAATGGAAAAAGACAACTCTAACAGAATAAATATATTTGTTCTGACGTTTCCGCACGATGCCCATCGACGCTTACCCACCGTCAGCTTGATGACTTTGTCAAAGAAGATTTCTTTATGGGCGAAGAAGTCGAACACAAAGTACTGGAGGAAGGAGATGGAGGTTGACGGTCAGTGAACAGTTTGTTCCAAAACTGAGGGTTCAAATGAAAAAAACGTTTTTACCTCGTTGTAAAACGGAGCGTTGGTTCCCTCTTTGACCGTCGTCTGTTTCTTTTCTTCGCCAATCTCGATCACCACGCTGGGGTCAATGTTTTCCCCCACAAGTTGCCTGGCTTCTGTGATATTGACGGCAATCTACGAGATAAACGTGCAAGAATTCCTCAAGTTTCAACTCAAATCATTTTTAGGTGAAAAACAACAAAGTTGTAAAAGTTTGGGTCAAATTTTGGAGTTGACCATGTGAGATGTGTTAGCAGTCTTAAGTGTGTTGTGAATGATTCTCAGCTACTACCACACCGTGCCATCTGTAAAACTGACACAGTCATTTTTATGTTTGCTATGTCAGTTAGCTGTGGCAGCCATCTTGAATTGGGCTGACTAGAAAACGACCCCTGGAGAAAAGCACCAGGTCCCCGGAACCCCACATCGAAGAGTTGGCTAAAAATGGATGGATTGATGTTTTGCTAACACACACACAAAGTGGAACTTTATTGGCCACGTTTTGCCTTTTGGTGGCAGCTACCAACAACAATCAGATTTGGGTCGTGTCTGCTCTGACCTGGAAGCTCTGCGGTTTCCCTTCACTGTCGTGGATGCGAGTTATGAGTTTGGCTCTGTGGAAATTCACAAAAAACATTCACTTAGTTTTTTTTTTCCTTTGCAACATCTCTTAGTTATCTAAAAGATAAAACACGTTCAAGGATTTTTTTAAGCTTGCTGACAGATGAAAATAAATGATCCCAAACCCACAGAACTCTTCTTTGGTGGGTTACAAACACAAACATCCACTTTCATTAAACACTTCTCGTTTTATGGCCATGGGGAGCTGGTGTCCAGCTGTCCCTGTGTGAGAGGCAGGGGACAGGTGGACAGGTGTCCAGTCCATCAGAGGGACACATAGAGACAAACAGCCACTCTCCCCCTCACCTCGATATGATTTAGTTACCACTGAACCAAACGTAGAGGGTTTTTTCTGCAGGAGAAAACCCACACATATAAGACCGGGGGCAAACCTGTGAACTTCTAGCTGAGCAGCAACGACTCTAACCACTGCACCACCCTTACAAACAAAACGTCAATGCGGAAGTTAACTGAGCAGTTTAAAACCAACACTTGTGAAGTAAAACCATGAGATTGTTGATGTCGTCATGTGTTTCCTGGTGTGTGTTCATCTTTATTTCATTTGGACTTTAGTTTTCTGTTTTCTTTGTGTTGATTTTCTGTCGCCTTCTATTCCCTCACCAGTCCACTTTTTGTGTAACTCTTGAGCTTCTTGTGCGTCCAGATTGTCATTCTCTGTTTTTGTACGTTTGCAGCTTCACCAGCTTTATTGAAAGACAGACTCGTGTCGGTCTTCGTCCTCGGGTCCAAAGCTCCAACTGAACTCTGAAAGATCTAAAGCTTGACCTGGTTAGAGCCCTTCACACGAGATGATGACACGTAAAGTTACAGGCGGTCTTTGTGGGGTCTTGATGGGGTCCTGATGGGGTCTTGATGGGGTCTTGATAGGATCTTGATAGGGTCCTGA